CGGAAAATTTCTTTTCTCTTTTTTTTTTTTTTGCAGTAGAGAAATTGAATAAAATTTTAGAGCTAATATGTATTACTTCGTTCACTAAGTATTTATTCAGTTTTGATTTTTTATAATCAATTGTTTTTAACTTCTGATTTACAATTAAATAAAATATATTATGATATATTGTCTATTAATTAGATAACATAATATTTTGAAAATATTAATGAATCTAACAAAATTATTTTTGTACCAATATCTAATATCATTTTTGTTTAATTTATAATCAAAATTTGTCAATCTAGACCAGAAAAAAATGGACAAATATTTAGAGACAGCATAGGTAAGGGTGATATTGAAGTGAGTTGGCTCACAAATCATTCAGGCTTTTTCTTTTAAAAACATTTGACGTATCACTCGTATGAAACAAATAGTGTAACTTCATAAATAAAATGGCTAAAAGTGTAAAGTAAAAAAATTTTGATTTCATATTTGATAAATAAAACTGTGTAAATGCACGACTAAAGTATACTACTCCCTCCGTCCCCCTAAGATGTTTTCATTTTGACTTTTGGTGGTTTTTAAGGAGAGTTGAAAAAAGGTGAAAGTTTACCATAATATCCCTAATAAAAATGGATAGAGTGTATTAAATGAGGTGACTGAGGTGTAATAAATAAAGTAAGTGGGGGTAATTGTGGTATTTTAATTGTTAAAAAATGAAATGAGAAGATCTATTGTGGACAAAGAAAAAAAGCTATTAGGAAGATATTGGGGGACGGAGGGAGTAGTAAAATTTATAAAACCTACTCAAAATTTAGAGAATTTGGGTTGAAACTAAAATTTTACAGAAAATATTCAGTAGCAATTGAAGTTTAATTATTACTCTTCCCTCACATAATACTCCCCTCCGTCCCTAAATAAACTTCCCTTTTTGACTTTTTGAGGATTTAAGGGAAGGATATTTTGACTTTCCAAAAATACCCTTGATGTGATGTGTAAAAGTAAGATGCGATATGTAAATTATTAGTAAAAAGGTATGATGTGATAGGTAGGGTATGAAAAAGTAAGGGGTAAAAGGGGTTTTTAGGGGAAAAAAGAAGTTTATTTGGGGACAAAGAAAAAACGAAAGTGAAAATTTATTTAGGGATGGAGGGAGTAATTTTCTTCGTTTTACTTGGTAGAATTTTTAATAAAATAAAATTTGTATGATTATGATTTGTGTAGAGAAAAAGAGATGATAAATACCATACAATTTTATCCCACGCGGAGGGGAGAGTTATTAGAGATTATCTCACATTGAAAATCTAAGATTAAATATTCAGTATTTAACTTGGATTCAATATTCAGTTGAACTAAGTAATCTATTGGATTCAATTTTTTAATGTAGTTCGGTCCAAGTATCTTATGGTCCAATCCAATAACCTTTTCACCATTCTAAATTCTATTAGGCACCGTTTGGTATAAAGAATTCAAATTATAGAATTGGAATTGAGGACTTCAATTCCAATTCTCGTGTTTGGTAGAACAAAAATTATATGGATTTGGAATTGGTAGTGCAAAAAATGAATTAGAATTGGTGAACTCAATTCTATGGAATTGAATCCCGGCCCGTGAAATTTTAATTTCAATTCAATTCCAATTCCATCAATTACGTGTACCAAACGGACCCTTAGAGTCCATTTTGTGCATGGAATTGACATAAATGGAATTGAATTGACATAATTGGAATTGAATTGAAGTTGAAATATTATGGAATTGATTTGGATGAAATTGAATTCTCTTATTCCAACTCATCCAAACCCACATACTACGTATTTTTTAGATATCAAATAGCGGAATTTAAATTATTGTCTCCAAGTCCAATCTCATAGTTTGAATTTTATGTATCAAAGGAAGATTGACCACTCTTTTAATTAAAATTAACAAACATTTTCTAATTCAAAGTTTCTAATTCAAATTTTATTGACCACTCTTTTATAAATCTACATCTTTAATTACTCTAGCTTGCACCATTAATTGTTCCGCGTTAAACAAATCACTAGAGCGAGAATAGACAGAGGCATGTATGGAAATGCTTTTCGATTTGGCTAACGTAAAAAAGTTGCGTAAGAAAGAAAGCCAGAGATGGTTGGGTTGTTGCTTCCCTCCTTCCGCACACTGTTTTTTTTCTTTTTCATTTTAATAATTTTCCATTTTTAACCACCCAGATGAGAGAAAAAAACAAGCCAGAGTATTCTGTTTAATAATCATTTTTAATTAGAAAAGGAAAGAGATACTCAAGTAGAAAAATGGTTAGATTTGGCGACCCGTGAATTTAGTTTGACAAAAATCACTCACGCCATGTTAGAACAAATAACACGTTTACACCTCTTCCATAAATGGTGCATATAATAATATTATTTAAAACCATAATTATAACAATAAAAAAAAGGAATTAATGCTAGATGAGGGTTGCAGGATGGAGTGCATGCGCCGTACAAGTACGACTAAACTCATTTAAACTAAACACAGAGCGGTTAAATGAAGCGCACCAAACCCAAAAGCATTATGTGTGCATGGAAAAGCGTGATGAGAATTAGATGCCATACCAAAGAAGAATGATGAGGAAGAAGAAAGACTTGTGGGTTGTGATGAATGCTTTCACCAAACATGGAACTAAAAATAAAAGGGAGAGTTTCTATTTTTTGCATGAAAATCAATTTTACTTCTCCCTTATTGTTGAATTGTTCTCTTAGCTTCTTCTTTTTCTTTTGAATTGGTTCTTTTTCCTCTCTTTTATTACTCGATGCTTCCTATTTTATTTGTTATGTTTTAGTTTACGTTGTTTGATTTGATCTAAGATATTTTTTTATTATTTGATTTATACTACCTCCGTTCTGTGGTATTTGCTCGGTTTTAAATTTTTTCAATCAACCGTTTTACCTCCGCTCCGGAGTATTTGTCTCCCAGCTTTGCTATAAATACCCTTGTAACCCTCCTTAGAGGGGATCCGAACTTCATCTCTCTAAACGGATATTGTGTAATACCACAATGTATTCTTCTTGTTCTTAATAACAATTGGACTACAGGTGTTCCCACCTATAGTTCTCCCGATTAATCTTCATTTCTTGAATCCTTTCAGTATCTCAACTCGATCAGCAAACCATCCTAGATCCGGTCTAGAGTAGTTTTATATTTAAATTCATTGTATATTTTTATATATAATTAATCCAACGCTTGAAATGCAAATTATATCAGATAGTTAAAAAGAAATGGATGGAGTATGTACTCATTAGTAAATAGTCATGTGCAATGTAATTAATACCCTATTTGTGAGCTTCCCTTTGGTTTTAGTGGAGGGAGAATCATACCACCTCCAAAATTATGGATGGATAGCTCATATAAGTTGAAAGTATAGATAAAACGTTAACTATTTGAGTTATGCTAGATTGAGAAAGTATGTGTAAGTAGACACGACATTGTAATAAAGTTAATGAAATCTTGTATGGTATAAAGATTACCCAAATAATTTGTTCTGGTTAAGTTAATTTTAAATCAGATAAATTCTGGGTCAAGTAATTTTATGTCACTTTATTTTTTGGCGTAACAAACTTGACTTTTAAAGAGAATTAACTTTTGTATGTCTCTCATATAAATATGATACATATCAAGAACAAATCGTGTAATTCTCTCGAATGTTTTGACTTCCCTTGCTTTTTAAATCTTACTCCCTCCGTCCCCCATAGATCTTCTCAATGACCCTTTTTATTTGTCCACAATAGATCTTCTCATTTCATTTTTTAACAATTAAAATACCACAACTATCCCCACTTACTTAATTTATTACACCTCACCCACCTCATTCAATACACTCCACTCATTTTCATTAAGGGTATTATGGTAAACTTTCACTTTTTTTCAACTTTTCTTAAAAACTTCCAAAAGTCAAAATGAGAACATCTTAAGAGGACGGAGGGAGTATTTGTTTTACCATCACACTTTTGAAATGTTGCACTCGTCAAGTTTATCCGGCTTTACCGTCACACTTTTGAAATATTGCACTCGTCAAGTTTAGCCGGTTTACCGTCACACTTTTGAAATATTGCCCTAATCAAGCTTAGCAAGTTTTAGTATTGAATAATTTTCATTAATTTTCCTTATTAGGAATTTTGGATCACCACATTTATACAAGGTACCATTTCCTTCCAAATTATTCATTCATTTTTATTTCCAAACTCGATAAATTTTGATCGATAATCAATAATTAGATAAAAATTGCATCACTTTGATTATAAGGACACAAGACACTAGTCAAATTGAGTATTTATGATGAGTTTTCGATTCGACCCGGATTAATTCTTATTCGTATAAACCTCCCTACCTAGTCCACCCCTACCCCATAATATACACCCCTAATTGGGTTTCCATTTCATATAAAAAAAATTACTCCCTCCGTCCAACAATAATTTTTCTGTTGCGCGTTACGGTGTTTGACTGAAATTATTTTTAAATTATTTTATATGAAAAATCGTGTGAAATTAAAAAAAATCATATTCAAAAACTACATGAAAAGATCTACAAAACTAGAAGTAACATGACTATATTATTTTATCAAATGATCGACAAAAATACGCTAACAAAGTGAATAAAGTTTGATTCTGTAAATAATAAACGAAGATACTTTTATTAGACAGAGAAAGTATAAAATTATTTTCCTAAAAGGAAGAGAGTGGGTAAGAGAGATTGAATTGAGGAGTGAAATGGGGGTAAAGATGGCACATGAGGGATTTGGGCTAGATGATGTAGGGCATTAATTTTGGGCAAGTAATAGTGGGATAGATAAATGTGGTGTTATACTTTAACTTGGTACTATTACTACTATTACTACTTTCTTCTTTCTCTCATTCATTCATTCATATTCATTCATTCATAGTGGATGGAAGGAAGGAACATATGGATGGATGGGATCATCATCATCATATCATCCCCTATCAATATCATCATCACTTGGCTCCATCCTCTCTCTCGCCCAACTAACTTTTCACAACAAACTTGAGTTTCGTTCTCTCTATAAGTCGTAGGTTTCATGTTCTTTGAATCCCCTCTGCCCAAACCTCATTTTTCCCCCATTATTTTATTATTGCTCTGTCTCGATCTCTTCAATCTACCGCGTATTTAATTACGCAAAACACAGAGTCAGAGAATATATACAAATATATACATACATATGTACGGCCTCATCACATACATACATACATATCTGTGTGTATGTATATGTTTGAAACTCGGAAGGACTCTGTTCCAAGCTCTTATATAATAATTACAGAAAGAATCTGATTAGAGAGGTTTAACTTCGCCGATTTTGTGGCTCGTTTGAGCTTTTGGGTTCGGAGGGATTCATGGAAATGTGGGATCTGAACGATTCGCCGGATCACTACGAATCGGAGGAGGGCTGCTCCACCCCTGCTGCCGACGGGGATGATGACAAGGGGAAACGGGTCGGATCCGGTTCCAATTCGAGCTCGTCGGCGGTGGTCGTCGAGGACGCTTCCGAAGAGGAAGAAGACGAGGAAGTGAACGAGGACGACGGGGGAAAGGGCCGGAGTGAAAGAGACGCGGCGCCGGGTAAAATCTTTGGGTTTCCGGTGGGGGCCGGTCCGGGTCACGGCAGCTTCTCGCCGGTGACACGGCAGTTCTTCCCCGTCGATGAGTCAGAAATGGTCGCCGAATCCGGCGGCGACAGGTCGCTCCATTTGCCGAGGGCTCACTGGGTCGGAGTCAAATTTCGCCAGTCCGAATCCCACGCCGCCGCAGGCGGCGGCACGACGGAGAAGCCGCCGTCTCTGGAGGGCTTCGCGCAGCAGCCGATGAAGAAGAGCCGCCGCGGGCCACGGTCGAGAAGCTCCCAATACCGGGGCGTCACATTTTACCGGCGAACCGGCCGGTGGGAGTCTCACATATGGTCAGCCATCGATCTCCAAATCCAAATCAAACCTCTCTCCCTTCTTTCCATTTTCTTTCTCTTCTTTTTCTTTTTTCCGCTCATCATTTTTTCTTTTTTCTTTGTCCAGGGATTGTGGGAAACAAGTCTATCTAGGTAAAAAACAAACCATTTCCGTCTTCTTCAATTTTTTACCTCACCAGTAAAAAAAAACACATGGACTAATCTGTAAAAAACTTAAAAATCGTATGTGCAGGTGGATTTGATACCGCACACGCAGCTGCTCGGTATGTAATCAAAACGCACTCCGTGATTAATGATGTTTAATTAATTAATTAATTTATGTGAAAAAACAAGACATTATAGTATAAAAAAAAGAAGTAGAGAATTATTGAGACAAAATTTTAGAAAAATGTTGTCAGCGCATACGATAGGGCGGCAATAAAATTCCGGGGAGTGGAAGCGGACATAAATTTTAGTCTGGAGGATTACGGAGAAGACTTAAAACAGGTAGGCCATTGTACTTTCAATGTTTTTTTTTTTGTTTCACTCCCTCATGCCCCCCCACCCCACCCTCGTGCATTTTCTTCCTTAAATAAAACACCACCTAATTTTTTTCCGTTATTACTTTGAAGATTGAAGAAAGATAAAATTTAATTTAATTTATTGGGTATGAAACTAATATTAATGAGAAATGGGAGGTGCAGATGAACAATTTAACAAAGGAAGAATTTGTTCATGTGCTGCGGAGACAAAGCACTGGGTTTCCCAGGGGGAGTTCAAAGTATAGAGGCGTCACTTTGCATAAATGTGGTAGATGGGAAGCTAGAATGGGCCAGTTCTTGGGCAAAAAGTGAGTTTTTATTTTTTTATTTTTTTAATATTCAATTTATATTAATTAAAAAAAAGAAAGAAAGAAGAAAAGAAAAGAAATTGTTTAATTATTCTCTGCTTATCTTGCTGTCCATGTTTATTCTCATTGCTTTATGGAGAATATAAAACTTTTTTTTTTGTTTATATATTTTATTTTGCAAGTGTCTAGTGTCTACAACTACTAGTATTCCATATTGATCCATAAATTTGAAACTCGTAATTTTACCAAAACAGGTATGTGTATTTGGGTCTTTTTGATACAGAAATTGAAGCTGCCAGGTACGTACCCCTAGCTACTAGCTACAATATCTTCTTTTTTAATACTTATTAGATACTCTGATAAGATTGGTATTGTCACAAATATTTTAATGTGGTGGTTTAAGGTACTTGATTTATGGCCTAGCGTGACATACTATGTTACCATACCCCTACTGCTAGACGTACCGTACACTAGACACATATTGGAGTTGTACTTTAATTAATTAATTATTAACGCGTGAGATTCTTTCCTGAAAGGTCAAACTTGTTGAAGGACTAGTCCAAATCCTCATTCTTATACTCCCTCTATTCCCCATAGATCTTCCCAATAGTCCTTTTTCTTTGTCCACAATAGATCTTCTCATTTCATTTTTTAACAAGTAAAATACCACAACCACCCCCACCTACTTTATTTATTACACCTCACCCACCTCATTTAATATACTCCAGTCATTTTTCATTAAGGGTATTATGGTAAACTTTCACCTTTTTTCAACTCTTCTTAAAAACACCAAAAGTCAAAATGAGAACATCTTAGGGGGACGGAGGGAGTATTAGGGACTGGTTTCATTGGACCGTTCGTTGACTAAGTTTATTTTTAAAGAAGTAATCTAAATTGATTGAATTTTGACTCCATAATAATAAGTGTGCAAATAAACTGGGACAGAGTAATCCTAATGACAATACTTTCCGTCTTTTATATATATATATATATATATATATATATATATATATATATATATATATATATATATATATATATATATATATATATATATATATATATATATATATATATATATATATATATATATATATTAAAAAAAACAGGGCTTATGACAAAGCTGCAATAAAATGCAATGGCAAGGATGCAGTAACCAATTTTGATCCCAGTATATATGAGAATGAGCTTAATTCCACCTCTGGTAAAAATCAAACTAACATTTTCTTCTAATTTAACCTGTCCTTTATGCATCATCAGACAATACACATATAAGATCATTCACAAATTCCTCTATGGTTTTAAACGATTTGCAGAAACATGTGATAATGCTGCGGATCACAATCTTGATTTGAGCCTTGGGAGCTCCAGCTCAGGCAACCGAGAAATGGCTGAAAATATGGGTCACAATTCCTCTGCAATGCAATATGATTTGGATTGGGGGCATCATGGGGTAACTAATTATGCCTTAAAATATCATATCATCTCCCAAATTGTACTTATAGTTTTAGCCGCTTCTTCGACGTCATATACCATTGGGTATAAACGACTCAGTTCGGTCATAACACTCCTGAGCTGAACCATATTATATATCTATCTGTAAGATTCAATCTAATATAGAAGCTGACTAATATACGAATACTATCATAATTAAGAGTCTAACAGTAACATCATCTATATTTGGTCTTGTGATTTGTTACATTTGATTTTTGAAAGCAACAAGAGAGCCCAACAGCCCGAAGAAGGGAGGGGTACCGCGACACAGAAACGTTGCAGCTCTTAGGCCGAACGCAAATGCTGCAGATGTTCCCACCACATCACTTCAACACGTCAAGTTTTCAAGTATGACCCGAAACAAAAAAAAAACAAATTTTTTAATTCATGTCTACATTACTATGAACGAATTACTAACTCAACCAAAAGTTCATACTTGTAGGCTCAGGAAAAGTTTTTTATATTCTGACTACACGTGTATATACAGGTGCAAAGCAACAATGTGGGAGGAGGAGGGACAATAAGGGGATGGAATGTGGGAGACCAGTTATGTCTGTCTTCCTCAAACAACACAACAGCAGCAAGCAACCTTAACAGTAACATAATTCTACAACAGCAACAATGGCAGTCACATTCGAACAGTCTTCTTCTTCCCCAACAGATATTTGCAACAGCTGCTGCAGCATCATCAGGATTCCTTCCTCAGCACATCCTAAGGCATCCGCCGCCGCCGCCGCCTCAGAGTTGGCCTCCCCTTCAGAGAAACGGCTTCCACTGCTCCTCCTCTTCCTTCACCCCGCCGCCTTGACCTCACCGTACCAATCTCTTGCCTTGTAAGTTCCAAGGTGTTTGGATTTCGTCTACTGGTCGCCGGAAACATTCTTTGTGATTTGTAGGATTGGTTATGTATGAGCATTCAATTCCATGGTTCTTCAAAACATTGGAACCAGCATTGGGAGGGTGTGGGTTGGAATTGGTTTTGGCAAATTTCCAATGGAAATACATTTTGGACTACGCCATTTTGCCTAATTATAAATGGGCTGTGGCTATTGGGATCTTGGCCTCTCCATTCTTTTCTCTATATTTATTTACTTCTCTTCAACCCCACCTCCCTTTTCTTCTCAAAAAAAAAAAAAGGGTTTATACATTAAAAAGGAGAAGTAAGAAAAATATTAAAGTATACTAGGGGTATGATTTTTAAAAATAAAACTTTAGCTTAGCAGGTCGGATTCAAATTCAGTCAAGTTTTAGCCAACTTTAACAAATTCAGCGAGATTCTTTTTTTTTGCTCGAGCCTTGCACGTAAAAATTAATTTTTAAAAGTGTGCGGCGGTAAGGTTAGAACTTGTGATCTCTTGATCAATAAGGTTCCAATATCATGTCAGGCGCAATTAACTTAACTAAAAGCTCAACCTTATAATCATGGTTCTAGGAATGTTTTTTATGTTCTAACAAGATCTGAGTTAAAAAATATGGCGGGTAAATTTCCGTTTGGTCTACATGTATTGGTACACAATAAAAGAAATGAAAGTTTTGTGAATGTGAAAGTAGTTTTTGTTGGATGTCAATAATGCTACTTACACACCACTTGGTGGACACCAAGAGATTACACAAGTGCTTTGATGATTCATATTGGCACAAAATATTAGTGTGAGCACAAAATTTCATACTCGAAATTTGTACCGGTGTGAGCCATGCATCAAAGCACTAATGCAACTCCTTGGTGTACAACTTGGTGTTTAATAAAGTAGACATTAACCTAGATTAGGGGCGTGTAGGGGTAGGTTAAAGCCATCAAAGTGGACACAAAATAGATTTGTTCATTAGGACTTATGTTTCACCAGATGAGTTGGCTGACTGGATATGAAGGATTTCGTTGTCATCTATCCTCTAATTTGAACCACACTACTCATCTAAATGAATTCGGACATTGCATTATTATGCCACTTCAACTATATAAAGGGACTCAGTGCCTTCTATATCAAGATTTCATAACTATTTTCTTTCTTGTTTGCATCTCAATGACACAAATTATTCATCTTTTTTTAATCACTATGACCACAAAATATAGAGCCTCATCATCATAAAAAATAAAAGGTGGAACACCCACCCGGACACTCGATCTTTTTTCAATCGCTATGACCACAAAATATTGAGCCTCTCTTATCCAAGATATCATGACCAAATCTCAAGATATGGATAGGGTGGCTATCCGGTCCATACCCGTTTTCGGAAGGGCTCCAAATTTTTTTATATTTAGATACTATTAATGTGATATTATTTTTACTATAAAGTTAATTAATTATTGCTTAACACTTAGTGTTAAATTTTAGAAATTTATGACACAAGGTCCATTTTCTCCATGAATGTCATGTCAGATTTTAGATCCTTCTGATTTTGGAGTTAGTTTCTTTCTTAAAACCCAACTGAAAAACCCGTACGGGCATAGAGCCCTATTATGCAACATTGAAAGTCGAGAGGAATACTCTCCGGCTCCGTTCCGTTCAACTTATTTTTTCTGATATGATCTGATTCTAATAAGTTCTGATCTGATCTGGTCTGATCTGATCTGATCTGATCTGATTGGATCTGATCTGGTCTGATCTGATCTAATTGGATCTAATCTGATCTGATTGAATCTGATCTGATCTGATTGAATCTGATCTGATCTGATTGGATCTGATCTGATCTGATTGGATCTGATCTGATCTGATCTGATTAATTATGATTTAATTTAAAATTTTAAATCAATAATTTTATTTGACTTTATAATAACGTTTGAAAATTGTAATGATAATATATATTATAATATAATCAACATTTTTTATTTAATGATTATTTTTTAATAAAAGAAAAATAGTCAATTCATATATTAGAATAATCATTCATATTATAATGTAATAATATTTTTATTTTATGATTTTTTTTGTAAAATTAGAATTATACATTAGAATAAATATTTAATTCAGATACACATTAAAAAATAATTAAATTTTGATAATCAATATATAGAAGAGATAGTATTTTAATTAAAATATCTCATCCTTATAAAAGATCAAAAGTAGAAACTCAAATTACAAGTAGCAATAAAAATATATTTTAAAAGTAGAATTAGATTGACAATGTAATAATGATGATGATGATGATGATAATAATGATAATAATAATAATAATAATAATAATAATAATAATAATAATTCTTGATGGGATCTGATTTTAATAAGTCCTGATCTGATCTGATTAGATCTGATCTGATCTGATTGGATCTGATCTGATCTGATTGGATCTGATCTAATCTGATTGGATCTGATCTGATCTGATTGGATTTGATCTGATCTGATTCGATCTGATCTGATCTGATCTGATCTGATTTTAATAAGAATAAGAAAAAATAAGAAAAAATAAGTTGAACAGAACGGGGCCTCCGTGGATATAAAGGAAGCCGAATTTCACATCAACAAAAGTTAATGCTCTCTCCAACCATAAATTAATTAAGTTTTCACCTTTCTTTTTTTCTGTTTTCACATCCTCGCTCCTATAATAATCTTTTGAATGTGAAATCACTTTCTTACGCTTCCTCCATCGAAACACCACCCACTAACACTTGCTAGCCTAATCCATTCATCTTTCTTCATCACCCCCTCCCCCCTCTGACTCTACTTCCATTAAAAGGAGGTTGAAAAAGCAAAAAATGTTGAAAAAACTGAAAAGTGTTTAAAAAATCGAAAGAAGTTAGAAAATGTTAGATCTTAAGAGTTGAAACTCCAACGAATAAAGCCAAAGTGTTGGTGAAAACAAGAAATAATACATACGGAGTAATATTTTTGTTACAACGTGCTAGGGCCTAGGTGTGCACAACCATAGTATACATCACTTGCACACCATATTTTACAATGCTACACACTAGTCCATGTAGGCATTTTGGGTCAGTGTGTGTGCCAAAGCAAAAAGGGTATACAAGTGGTGTGGAAAATATTTTGGCTAATTTTTTGACAAAATAAAAACTCACACTCCCTCCGTTCCTTAAAACCACCCCTCTTTCATTTTTTCATATTCCCTAAAACACTTTTTTTTTCTATTAAAAAACCATTTTTACCCCTACTTTTTCATACCCTACCTATCACATCATATTTTTTCACTAATAACCAAACAATCACATCTTACTTTTACCTAACACGTCAGGGGCAAAATTGGAAAGTCAACCAAAATTACACTTTTTTTTATTCTGGACCAATGTCAAAATAGGAATGGTTTTAAGGAACGGAGGGAGTATTTGTTAGGAGTTTTTTTTTTTATTTCGGCTTTTTAAAGTTGCTAAATTTTTGATGAGGGGGTGCATGTCTTAGAAGATGCTACAACAACGTGCGACAGGATCAGCAAGGCTTGTGCGAAACATCTGAACCTACAAAATTGAAGTAAGAGACTTTTTGGGACTTATCTAACTTGTGGATCAATA